AGATCCAAAAATAAGAACTGATCTGAATCCTCAATGCAAATCGGAGTCAGTGTAAAGTATGTTGCAATCCTAATACAAATCCACTCAGCTGGGATGTCTGTGTGCTTGCTGTCCATAACCACCCTCTGGCTCCATCATCTTCTGCCCTATATAGGATGAAGTGATAGCATGTGTATCCTAGAGAACCTCAAAAGTGCAACTGCCCCTACTGATGGAAGAACCTATTTTCCTCCGAGTTTGTGTCCTGACTTGGAAGTGTTTGATAGGTCAAATAATGTGCGACGTGGAAGTTAGTCAGACCTCTTTTGTAAATGATTTGATTTTTATCTGTAAGACTAAATAATTTATTCTTTGGGTTTTTAAAGTGACAACTTTAAGGTATTCTTCAGTAAAAGCGCCTTTTCTAGCTAAGATAAAGCAGATTCCTGGAGTACAACTGTTACATAAGAGCCTGTAATACTGTATTTAGCCTTTAAAGAAAAAAAAACACATACGTTTCAAGTTAAGATGCTACACATAAATTCTAAGCTACATCTCTTGGTTCTTTCCATTTTAAAACTCAATTTGAATGATTAGCACACAGAGAAAAGCTAGTGGGCAAATGATGAATGCATAACAGCATAGTCCATCTATCAGAGTCATGCTGACCTTTCCGTATGCTGTATTACTACAGTCCACTACTTAATAGTTCACCTCCTCTATTATTGTTTAAAAAGGATATTTAACTACAACAGAACCTTGGGCATGTGAAAAAATCTCTCTAGCCATCAGTTTCTTGATCTATAAAATAGAGGTAGTAATAAAAATATCTATTGCATGGGATCAGTGTGAGATTTGAGACAGTTCATATCTCATACTAAGCACTCTGTAACTGTTAGCTCTTACGAAGATTATCCTTTATTATTAGCTATTGAGCGTGTTGCAGTGAGCAATGGATTATCTATTACATTTATCTTGTTGCTTTGTTTTGTTTTGCTTGGTACCAGGGATTGAACTCTGGACCTCGTGCTTGCGAGGCAGGTGGCAGAACCACTGAGCTAAATCCCAGGCCCCTTTAACTTGTTGCTTTGAAATCTGCTTCTTTGTATAAAATAAACTTTTCCAGTTAACACAGACCTCAGTCGTGACATATAAAAATACAAATAAAATCAGATGAAAAATCAACTTCTGGGCAAAGGACAGACTTTATAAACTACATATTATTTCTAGCAACAGCTTTAAAAATATAATTTTAGATTGATTCCTTCTTCTTCTTCTTTTCTTCTTCTTCTTTCTTCTTCTTCTTCTTCTTCTTCTTCTTCTTCTTCTTCTTCTTCTT